GGAGGAGGAGGAGGAGGAGGAGGAGGAGGAGCAGGAGCAGGAGCAGGAGCAGGAGAAGGGCAGGATAAGGAGGCGCTGGAAGAGGGGGAGGCGGTGTAGGAGGAGGCGGCGGCCCCAAGGGCTGGCTCCTCATCTTGGACCGCCCTCTGACGGCCCAGAGCCCCGAGGCCTGCCTGGACCGCTTCCCCGGAGGCCGGCGTTCCGCCCGAGATCGTCTTCTGACGGCCCCGAGGCCTAGAGGCCTGGGCCCCTTCCCCGGGGGCAGGTGCTCCATCCCCAGTCAGTTTCGGATGGCCCCGACGCCCAGAGCGGACCTCCAGGGGCCAAGAAGAGCGGCAGACCAGGCGGCGCCTCGGGTGGCTTCGAGGCGCGGAGCCTGGTCTTGAGACCCGACGTCGCGAGGCAAAAAACCTCGGAGAGCCGCGCGGATTCCTCGGATTGGCGATGGGGTTCCCTGGCGGGGCGCCTCTCGCGCCGCCCGCACTCCGCGCGCCAAGGAGGGGGGTCCAGCACTGGTCCGAGAAATCCGCGGGACCTCTGAGTTTTTCTGCTTATGTCATTCTCTGTTCCCCGAACCGTGTCGGAGCCACGCGTGCACGGAGAAGCCGATGCCCGAAAAGAGGGTCGGAATGACGCCCGACAGGCTTCAAAACAGCGCCCAAGTGGGCGAGTGGGGGTGGCAACGGCACACAGGGAGCGGAAGCAGACGGGGACCGTGACCAAGATTGACCGTGGACATGATCAGCGTCGAGTTTGGTCAGCGTCGAGTTTGGTCAGCGTCCATTCTTGGACCACCCTCGCAAATCGGCGACAGCCAACATGGACCATGCATCGAGAAGATACCGCGACATCTTGGTCATGGTCCCGTGCTTCTTCCCTCGAACAGGGGGAAGGGGGAGGGGGGCCCCGCCCCGTGGCTTGGCAGACCCGCCTGGGTCGATCAGAACAGCCATGGCCGCGATTCCTCATCAATGCTATCCTCCTCCCCACTAGTGGGCTGTAGTACTCCTCTTCCTCCTCCTCCTCCTCCTCCTCCTCCTCCTCCTCCTCCTCCTCCTCCTCCCTCCCTCCCTCCATCCATCCCTCCCTTGCCAGGTGGGCTTGTCACGCGTGGGTGCTAGAAGCTCGTAGTGTGTCGATGGTAATGCTGGTCGGCGCATTGATAATCGTGGTGGTTGTCTCACCGTACCGTCCATTCGTTAAGCATCTCTGTGCTATGTATGTTGGTGCCTATCTTAGTTCCACGTGTTTGGGTTGGTCGTACGCTGTTGGTGACATGATATGCCTGTGGGACCTGTCGACGATTGATGTGGCCCATGGCGGGTGTAGTGGTGTTGTTCCCTGTGTGTGGAGAGCGTCTGCCAATAGGTTGGTGATAAATCGTAGCTCTGATCATGATACTATGTTGTTCTCGCTCTGATGCTGTCTCCCTACTCCTCCCTCCCATTATTTCTCCCCCTGCCCCCTCGTCCCTCCCGCTTCATCCCTCAACGCCGCCGCTCCTCTCGACTTTGCCCCAACCCCTACCCCTACCCCTCATCCTCCTCCTCATCCTCCTCCTCCTCCCTCCTCCTCCTCCTCCTCCTCATCATCATCATCATCAGCAGCATCCTCCTTCTCCTCCTCCTCCTCCTCCTCCTCCTAGCCCTCCTCCTCCTCGTCTAAGTATTATGATTATGCGAAGTAGTATTACTACGAGCATTAGTATTATCATTAGCAATACTATTAATACCATTAGTACGAATGTTAAAAAAATCCTGCGAGTGTTAGAAGTATAATTAGTATAATCAGTGTTATGGGAAGTATTACCATTGAATCGCTTCGCTCATTCCGCCGGCCCGTATTGTGCCATCGCGGGGTCTTGGGGGGTCTTGGGAGCCCTTGGAAGCTTTGTGGGAGCTTCTTGGGAACTTTGGGAGGCCTCGTGGATGGCTCTGGGTGGGCTCTCTTGGTGGTCTCTTGGGGGGTCTGCCTCGCCTCTTGGGGGCCTCCTGGGAGCTTCCTGGGGGTCTATTGGGGGCCTCTTGGGGCCTTCTTGCGGCCTGTTGGGGGCCTCTTGGGGCTCTCTTGGGGGCTTCGTGGGGCTACTTGGGGGCTTGTAGGGGCATTTCGGGGGCGTGTTTGGGCGGGAGGCTCAAAATTTCCGTTCAGGTTGCCCCTGTGGACCTCAATCATGGGGCCGTCTTGGGGCCTCTTGGACCGTCTTGAGGGTTTCTTGGGCCTTCTTGGAGCGCTCTTGGGCCGTCTTTGAGCGGTCTTGAGGGTCTCTCGGGCCGTCTTGGGGTGATCTTGGGGGCCTCTTGGACCGCCTTGAAAGGTGTGAAAGACGAAGAGGCGGATATGTTAAAAATGCACGCTTTCCTAAGGGAATGAGACGATTTTTGCTTGTGGGAGCCCTCTTGGGACGCCGCTTAGGGACCTCTTGGGGCGTCTTGAAGGCCTGTTGGGCCGTCTTGAGGCCATCGTAGGCGCTTGGGGGTGATATTTCGGCGTCTCCCGGCTCTCTTGGACCGTCTGGAGGGCTTCTCGGGCCCCTCTTGGACCGATTTGGAGCCCTCCTGGGCTCCGAAAAAGAGTTCTTGAGGGTTTCTTGGGCCTTCTTGGAGCGCTCTTGGGCCGTCTTTGAGCGGTCTTGAGGGTCTCTCGGGCCTTCTTGGGGTGATCTTGGGGGCCTCTTGGACCGACTTGAAAGGTGTGAAAGACGAAGAGGCGGATATGTTAAAAGTGCACGTTTTCCTGTGGGAATGGGACGATTTTTGCTAGTGGGAGCCCTCTTGGGACGCCGCTTAGGGACATCTTAGGGACCTCTTGGGGCGTCTTGAAGGCCTGTTGGGCCGTCTTGAGGCCATCGTAGGCGTTTGGGAGTGATATTTCGGCGTCTCCCGGCTCTCTTGGACCGTCTGGAGGGCTTCTCGGGCCCCTCTTGGACCGATTTGGAGCCCTCCTGGGCTCCGAAAAAGAGTTCTTGAGGGTTTCTTGGGCCTTCTTGGAGCGCTCTTGGGCCGTCTTTGAGCGGTCTTGAGGGTCTCTCGGGCCGTCTTGGGGTGATCTTGGGGGCCTCTTGGACCGCCTTGAAAGGTGTGAAAGACGAAGAGGCGGATATGTTAAAAATGCACGTTTTCCTAAGGGAATGGGACGATTTTTGCTTGTGGGAGCCCTCTTGGGGCGCCGCTTAGGGACCTCTTGGGGCGTCTTGAAGGCCTGTTGGGCCGTCTTGAGGCCATCGCAGGCGTTTGGGAGTGATATTTCGGCGTCTCCCGGCTCTCTTGGACCGTCTGGAGGGCTTCTCGGGCCTCTCTTGGACAGTTTGGAGCCCTCCTGGGCTCCGAAAAGGGACCTTGCCGGGACCTAGCCGGGGTACTTTTCGTCCGGGGACCCCCAGGGCCCGCCCCGCGCGCGCGAAGTAGAAATATTGTTGAGCAGTTACAGGAGATCTTAGCACGCCTCTGGCCCGTTGGGCCGGCGAATAATCAGTGTTATGGGAAGTATTACCATTATGGTTAGGATTAGTGCTCTTAGTGTTGTTATTACTATTCTATAAGTAGCATTATGATTCTTATTCGAATTAGTACTAGTCTTAGTAGTACTATCCTTCGTAGTAGTAGTAGTAGTAGTAGTACTACTACTACTACTACTACTACTACTACTAGTAGTAGTAGTAGCATTAGTATCAGTATCAGTCGCTTTGTTAGGATTAGTAGTAGTAATAGTCGTCGTCGTCGTAGTAGTAGAGGTAGGGGTAGCATTAGTATACGTAGATTGCTAACAGTATTAACCATGTTAGTATTAGTACGAGCATTACAAGTAGTAGCATTAGTAGCTTTAATACTATTACCAGCAGTTATACTATTACTGTTAGCACCCGCACTATACTTCTCAGTATAAGCATGCTTAGTATCATTCGTATTAGCATGACGATTGTGATTCGTATTATGATTATTAGTAACATGTCTCTCGTAGTACTATTATTTGCTTCGTCGTCGTACTCATCGCATTATTCGGGTTACTTTTCGTCGCAGTAGTATTATCATTCGTCTCAAGAAAATATTAATATTATAACTAATCGTGCTGTTCTGCGTGTTATGCGTGGTAGCCATATTCTGCCTAGTATTATTATTCGTACGCTTATGTTTCCTCTTCATCCTCCTCCTCCTCCTCCTCTTTCTCATCCTCCTCCTCTTCCCCCCTTGTAGCCTTTTATATATATATATATATATATATATATATATATATATATTAAAAAAAAAAAAAAAAAAAAAAAAAAAAAAAAAAAAAAAAAAAAAAAAAATGTCTGAATCGTCCTATTCTGCTTATGATCCATACGATTATGATTGGTAGTAGTATTACGACTAGCAGCAGTACTGTTATTATTATTCCTCCTCCTAATTCTCCTCCTCCTCCCCCTAGTTACCTCCGCCTACTACTCATGCTCCTCCTCCTCTGTTTTTTTCTTAATCGTATGATGATTACGATTGTGAATGTTAATAGTTGTCGTTATTCTTCTTAGGTTGAGTACTACTATTCGCATTAAGATTATTCGTCATATTGGTATGTGTCGCATTAGTATTGTTCGTCTTCTTCTTGTCACTATTAGTGAGCGACGTATTAGTAGTAGTAGTAGTAGTAGTAGTAGTAGTAGTAGTAGTAGTAGTAGTAGTAGTAGTGTTAGCATGTTTATTCGTCGTAATATGTGTACTCGTTCTAGACATATTACTATGAGTATGGTCGTTAGTCATACGAGTCGTACTCTTACAAGTATTAGTATTCCTCTTCCTCCTCCTCCTCCTGATCCTCCGCCTCCTCCTCCAACTCTTCCTCCTCGTCATCCTCCTCCTCCTCATCCTCCTCTACCTCCTCCTCCGCCACAGCCACCGCCTCCGCCTCCGCCTCCGCTTCCGCTTCCGGCTCATCCTCATCCTCATCCTCCTTCTCCTCCTCCTCCTCCTCCTCCTCCGCATCCTCTTCCTACTCGTCCTTCTCTTCCTCCTCCTCCTCCTCAT